TAATTTATAATATATCAGCGAAGGATGTGGGAAATTTTGTGAAATTTGGATCATGAATAATGTGATATTCCGTTTTAATGCTTTTATTCTTCAGTTCAATCATTGTTCTCATTCAGAACGTTTTCAACGCAGTTAATTTCACAGGATGAATAATAATGTGTATGTGTTATGTGATATGGTTTTAGGCAGAACTTGATGCTCAAAAAGATCAAGTGCAGAAACTGGAAACGGATCTTGAGATTCTCAGAAGCGAGATGGAGAATGCTGGTGGTATTGCGCTTCAGGTAGTTAGTTAGATTTGTTTTCGTTGTTTTTCTGCTTTCATTTGTTCGATTTGCTGTGCATTTAGCCGTTGGATTTTGTACATATTCACTGAATCAGTTGTGCGTAAATGAGACGGTTCACAAACGGACAGCATTTATCTTTTGAGATTTTGATTTGTTTTTTAGTTGGTCACTTTGTGAACATATAAAAGCTTTTCTTTGCAGGGAAACAGTGTACAGATGAAGCAGTTGGAGCAGCAAAATGAAAAACTGCGTGAAGCTCTCGTGAAGTGCGTTCATTTTTTGAGTTTTGCAATCATAATGAAATCTCTTTGAAGTATTCGGATTTTTTAAATGCAAATTATCATGAAAAAGTTGGTCTTCCTTTGAGTTTCCGACTTAATTGAGTGGGTGTGTTTCGAGCGTGTAATTGAATGCAAAATGCGGAATGCTTGGTGCGAAGTGAATGTAAATTCGATAAAAAGAGTTAGTAAATAGTGAAAGATTGAAGTGACGAGAGGAAATGATTTGAGGATGCGTGACATGACTGGTCAATCGGCGTTGGAGAAACAGGAAGCGATGAAGGAGAATGAAGAGCTGAAGAATGAAATGGCTCAGTTGGTGAAATTGTGTGAAAAAATGAAAAATGACGCTGAATTGGCTGAGCAACAGGCCAACGAACTTCGAGAGCAGGTACTTTTGAGTGTATTTATTTCGTTAGTTCGTAGTGCAGATATAGGAGTAGCACTGATTATAAGAAATGTTGANCAGTGATGTTAGATTATATCTGTTCTATTGCATTCAACTATGTGAACGTTTTCTTGTGTTTACAGCTATTTGATTTGAATGAAAGGGTATGTACATTTTTGGATTGAAATTTTATTGCTGCTTTCACGTTTTAATTCAGTCAAACATCAAAAAATGTTCCACTGAAAATGAGTGTTGGTTTCATGAAATGGAGAATAGAAATGAACAATGCAATAGAAACGCTTTCTGTCGTTTTGTTTTCTTTTTGTTTTGTTTTGTTTTTCATTTCAGTTAATTATAGCTCTAAATATCCATTCTTTCCATGTTTCGTTCCAGTTATGTTTGGAGTTTTATTTGATCCGACTGTAAATTAGATTTTACGATTGTCAGTTGGATTGTAGGGTATATGATTGAATAATTCTGAGAGGATATCCCTTTGTTTTTCTTTTCGTTGTTTCATTTTATCGGTTGGTTTAGCACTGTTGTATTCACTTAAATTATTATTGTTACTATTACATTATTATTGTTGTGGATTTTTNTTGAATGGAACGAGTGGAGTATACAAATGAAGTATTGTTCGAATTCTTCTCAAATGAACCGGGAGATAGATGACTTTTTGTGTGTCGAAATGAATGTGACACGGCTTGAATACTACGCTTTCATATGGTCTTGTGTTTATCATGAAATGAAAAGTGTCTGCATTGTTAACTACTTCGAAGAGTTGTTATATTTCCTGTTTTGTGTTTTGTAGGTGGATGCAGCGATGGGTAGTGAACAAATGATTGAAACGTTGACGGCAAAAAATTTGGATATGGAAGAGAAATTGAGGTGTTTTTGTTTGTGATTGCAAGTTTGTTATGTTAATTGAGCAACGGTGGAATGAATCATCTGTCGTTGCGTTACTTAACTGTCTTTTGCTTGAATGTGTAGTCGAATTGATTGAGTTGATCGAACTCGTTGGTGTTATCTCATAAATAATGTTATGTGAATGGTTTTGTGGTGATAAGTGGTAATTGATTAAAAACATCTAATAATAGTTGGTTTTAAGGAGTCTTGAAGAGACAATCGAAGACTATGAAACGATGCGAGATTTGGATGAGGAATTATTGGAAACACAGAACGAAGCTGAGAAGGATTTGAAGGATAGATATGAAGCATCTTGCGTTCGAATCAATGAGGTTGGCAGTGCGTTTGTTGCGGTGTTCGAGCTAAGGTGTTGATATTCCTACGATGACCACTTGCAACTTTTTCAGCTTCTGTCGCAAATCCGAGCTTGTGGAGAGCAAACAGAAGAATACGAAAATGTATTGGTGAAATTCCGTAAGAAGGTCGGTGAATTGAACGAAGAAATTCAAGAGCATAAAGATGAGGTTCGTTTTAGCTTTTTTTTTTAGATCGCTTTAGGTTGAATCGTTGAAAATATTTCAGTTTTGGATTGTAACTATCAAGAAGGGGAAGTCACCTTTGCGCGATCCTCAGTACGTGGTCCCTTGCACCGTTTCGGCCTTCTACGTTATCATCCGATGATGACGTAAAACACCGAAACGTTGTAAGAAAATAAAGATTCTCTTAATAAAAATTAATAGCAAGAATCATATTCACTGTGCGCATAGTGAAAAAAGGGAATTAATGGAAAATATTTGAATTTGTTTATCCTAACAATACTTTTAGAATTTACGTTTGAAACAAGAATTGAAAGATTTGGAAGAGGGTAACGCTCAGCCGGGAGCGGTTAGTGCTGGTATGGTGGCTGCGAATCGAGATTTTGCTGAGGTTATTTGTTTGATTATTTGATGTGCTGTTGTTGGATGCTATTTATTCATGTATTTATTGATCACTGAAAGGTGCAACTGGCAATAATATTAGCTATATTTCATGCCCGTTCTGTTCAATTTGTTCAGTGGATTTGTAGAAGACTCAGTACTTTAAGAATCCTTCGCTATTTGAGATTTTGTTGAAATTCATTGCGAATTCAATCACTAATTTTCGCATGAACAGCCTTTAGCATTCATTCTAAACACACCGTCGTGTTGTCTGTTCCTCCCACTTTTTGCATTCGTAAACGTTCATACTCATCTCTAGTTCGACTGAGAGGAACCTGTCCATCATTTCATACTATTTGTGAATGGGTGGCAAAAATATGTAAACGAAAACGTCGGTGATGATATGCAAGGATTGGTTTCGCAACTGTTTTTGCTGAACAATGGTACTGAAGAAATCCTTGGCTGTCTGAGACGCATGTTTTGAACATTAATCGATGGGTGAAGGGAATGGAATAGACATATATAAGTCAAAGAAAGATTGGGTCGCATGATTGAATGCTCAAAACGGAATTGTGCACCGGTATCAGCAAGCAGTGATTATAAAGACAAACCTTATTGTTATTAACATCCGTTTCTGGTATATGAATATGATGGTTACAGACGATTGAAAGTGAAATGAACAAACCAAAATTGGTATTCTATCAAAAGTATGGCGAATATTTGAAAGCATTTCTACCGGATAATTTCGCGAAAGCTGGAGGTAATTCAATAATTGCATATTCAACGTGAGAGTAGGCGATGGTTCAGCTGATAGAAATTGTTTCATTTAGTTAGCATTGGAAAAGGAACATCACTGATGAATGTGATTTGTTGTCGTTCACTGTTTCGTCTGTTTATGTGTTTGATTAGTTTTATTTAATCTCGAACGGCTTATTTCTGACATGCAAAGTATAATTGTGGCAAAAGTGACGAAAAGATGTTTTTGAAATGAAACTGATTCGAAACCTTCTTGTTCCCGCAAATACATTCAACAGTTACTTTAAGGCGACAACGATGCAGTGGTTTTGAACGTGCTTTATCCTCTTCTTTCCGAAAAGGCTTCAATTCTTTCGGATATTCTAAACAAGAAGGTTGGTCACAACAGTCAGAATTTTTCAAAATTAGTTATTTGATTGATTTTTATGCGAAGATCTGTGTGGCTCATAAAATAAGGTGGAGGAGATGAAGCAGTACAGTTTACCAATTTTTTAATGATATTCTGTTGCAGTACCCATCAGTGCCAGGTGGTATGCGGCGTGAGCATGTAACAAAGGCACATAAGGCTGATCAGTGGGCATTCGCCGCAAAATTCACATATCTTTTGAGTGGTTTTGGTGGTATTGTTCGAAAATTTGGAAGGTTTGTTTGGCGTATTGTTGAAATTCATTAGGAATTCGCTTGTTTGATGAGCAATCAAAATGGTTGTTCACTGAGGGAAATGAGCTTTTCTCTAAATCATTCAGTGACATCTGGAGAATCGGGTAATAGTCACTGATATTCGAGGATCTGAATAAATGAGATGATTTTGAAATGAACTGAATGTTCACTCAGTAGTTTTTGTTGTTGTTTTCAGTGCTGTGCAACGTTGTTCAGTGGAACGCTTATCACGTTTAGCACAACTGCAAATGGAGATGACCGGTCAGGAAAGAATGTTAGACTCATTCTTTGGTCTCCTGAAAACGAATCGCTTCGATGAAAATACTTCCACGGAAAATCTTGAAAAGGGTATCGCATATTTCCAGGTATCTATCCCACAATTTCATTTTCCGTAAAATTTCACTTTCTTCCACAAATTTTAAGAATCGAAAGTGTCTCATGAAAGACGTTTTTGAAGTATTGCATTTAAGTATGTTTTTATATTTTTTGGTTGAACTCACTAGAAATGAGTATAAAACAATTAAGGATGAACACAGTCTCGTTCATGTTGCTTGTTTTTTTTTGGTGATTGGAAACTTGGATCAACGTTTCTATCTTGTAGTTAGTTGCTGTCCTGTCCATGAGTGTGACAGGCTAACTTGTTGTTGAGGTCGTAGGCTAGCGTTGGACACGAATGAACGAAATAGACACTCATTGTCAATGAGATGGAATGATTATAAACGAGAGATTAAATAATAGAAAGAATCATCGATGAAATCCTTCAGAATGTCTTCTCAGTGCATATGGATGGTGAATGGTTCAATGCGAATCAAGCATTCAACGATTTCATTTCGCAGTTTCTGTTGGGTCTTAATTGGGTTAAAGTGAATATTCAACGCATCAACTTCTTCCTTATTGTGAGTTATTGATCAGTCATCATAATTGGGAAGTCAAGTTTCTTGAGTTATATATTTAAAATAAAGGCTTACTATTATTGTTGTTCTAGCCTGGACAAGAAGATTGTGAGTTATCAAACTTCTTGGCGTCATTACTAGCGATTGTGGCTGAATGTGATCAGCTCTCAATGAGATCGCGAAATCGCTTACCTCAAGATAAGGAACTGAAAATGACTGCAGAGGTTAGTTTGAGTTGTTTGCCGTCATTGTCATACTCCCATCATGTGTTCTTCTTGTTTTTGAGAAATATTATTCACTCGTCATTCTTTGTTTTTTTGAAAAATTTTCATTGATTTTCTTTTTTTTTGTCTATTTTTTTCAAATTTTAGATTGAAAAACAGATAGTGATTGGCGTAAACAGTTTGAATAAGGTGGCCAACATACTGCAGAATCTGTGCTCACTTGCCAGTTGTCAAGTAACAATGCGTGGTTAGCAACAGTTAACGTCGATTCAAGATTATTTCTTTTCAGAATGAAACTGACTTCATTTCGAAATACCATTTATTTTTGTAACAAAAAAAATTTTTTTTTTGAAAAAAAACAAGAAACAATTGTAGAAGTGGAAGGTTTGGAGATGGATCGATTGAAGGAGATGATGCAAGGAGCAGTTGAGAAAGAACATGGTCAGATCGAGACATCGAAAGCACAAAACCTTATCAAGTTGGTTTTTGTTCTCAGTCATTTTCAGATACTTCTGTAATCATCATCTTCATCAACAACATCATCATCAAAAATCAGTATCAATCAGCTAACGAAAGGTTTGCTTGGTAGATGAATAGACGATTTGTTGAATAATATCAGCAAGCAGTTCCATCTTGATGCACTGATTGTGCGTGATTGAATGATCGTTTTCTGAAAATTAGAATCATTAGAATGCCTTCCTTACACCTCATAAATTGACCATCATCAATGAGATTGCTTTAAAACAAAACTTTTTTGTTTCATTTGGTAACATCTATGTGTATGGCCTATCGGATCTTATTCCCAATAACTTATACTAAGTTGTTTTTTTTTCAAAGAGTAAGTCTTAGTTTTTTGTTATGCTTTTTTGAAGAGAACTATTCAATGATGGTTCCAGCGACAGTGGTACTACTGTTCGGAACCAGAAAGCGCCTTTCGTCATTCAGTTAGTTGGTTGCCTTTTACAGAAATTGTAACAAATACATGAAAAGAGAAGCAGCATTTGTTTGTGCATCTAAACACACCCCTGGGCTGTGAATAACCCATTTCAATAGCTATTGTTTTGTGCGTTGGTTGCTGCTCTTACTGCTGCTACTGTAATGTTCGTCGATGGCTCGATTAAGTGCTCATGGTGCTGTTTGACATATACTGCTTGCATCCTTTCTCATCTTATTTCACCGGTTTTGCGATCGTTTGAGATCTCATTCATCCGGTCTGGGTATATCAACGATACGTTATATAGTGCAGGGCTGGCTTCTAAACCGAGGTGCACGTTTCCCGGCGGGGTGGGGGGGGGGAGCGAGATGGCATGCCATGGGGTGCGGGAGGGGATGCGAGATAAGGTTTTGCTTTTTATACAGTAAAGTAGGCGAGAACGCAGTTCAACGTATGCATGTTTGTAAAGTAGGCGAGGATGGACTTCAAAGTAAATGCTTTTGAAAAAGCTAGAACGTACTCTAAAAGTATACACTTATCTACAGTGCGAACACTCACTGTATTCAGTACAGTGTATTGGATGAGAGATCCTGATTGGGTGTTGTGTGGAGTGCGAGGACATTTGAGTATTGTAGTGGGGGGTGCGATCACATCTTGAAGTTTTCTGTGGGGTGCGAAGGGGAGAACGATTGAGAACCACTGACATGGCACAATAATGCTGCAGTATGACATGGCTTAGTTAAACTCGTTTTGGGTTTGGTAGGACGTCGTTTAGTACGCTTCGATCATGTTCAGTTGAATATGGATAGTATAGAGCTTTTAATGGGAGCAACGGTGACAGCAATAGTGATGTGTCAGCGGATATCCTTAGATATATCACTGTTAATCAATGAAAACGCGCTTTCGCTGCAGTGAATAACGCCACAGATAGTGAGCTAGTCTTGAGATTGCATTTTAAGATTCAAATTATATCAAAAACAGGTAATACGTTTTCTGTAATTTGATCGTACTGAAACTAAGAATAATAAGAGAGATTCTGAAGTGGATGGTAATCGAATTCGATTGCTTTGCTGTGTGGTGCAGTCATAAACGAGACGGTATTCGTCGAATGAAGAGCACATGAATCTTATCTCTTTATCTCATCTTTTCGCTTCTTAATTTATTTCGTTTAATTTAATTTTCTTGAAGTTATTCTCCTTCTTTTCTTCATTTGTGTGCTTCTGATGGATAATTTTCCTGCAAGTAAACAGCCTAATGTTTATTTATTTGAATTAGACCATTATCACTGTTGTTATTGTCATTGAATAGCTGATTCAGTTCGTTTGAACAAAGTGGAATACTTCTTTGATTATTATTCATATTTCATCATCATCGTCGTCCTCACCGATTTTCGCTGTTGTTGGTTTGATTCGTTGTTCATTTTGCTTCAGATGATTCGATTTGATTGCAATTATCCACCAGTAACATCGCGTTTCACTGTTACGCTAATGACATTCTTCCATATATGCTTTTCAAGAATATGCTTTCTGATCGACATTGAAATTTTTAGTTTCAGTTTCGTGGTTTGGGGATATTAACCGTTTACCGCTTCGCTTTCGTGATGTTTCCCCCCTCTCCTCATTTGAACTAAGTTAGGCTCTTTAGCGTAGAACGAACGCGTTTTGCGGAGTTCTAATAAATGGACTCAGCAAATAGGTGGATGGATAAGTTGAGATTGAGATGACCAGCGCCTTAATCATAATGACGATGATGATAATTGATAATGAATCAAGGAATCATTTCACTTTCTACCGACAGCAACTTCACTCACGTAGCAACTGAGTTGTTTTCAGGAATTATCTGAGTACATTACGTGGTGTTCTTGTTCAACTGGCCGATCACTTGGATAGAGGTACTTTCGAAGTGAACACTGCTGAGAACAAGGTCATCATTAGTGTTGTTGTTGCAATTTATTTTGAACATCACAATGATACTGATCAGTTTTATTATTTCTTTCTTGTCTACTTAAAATCAGTTTTGTTGGTGATATGTGATATAAGAGAGATGCTTTATGTTTATCGTAATGATGGATCATTTGATTGGTTTTCAGCCATTCCCACCGCTGTTGGAGAGAGCACATATTCGGAAGCAAGATGCTGTTGAAGCTGAAGGATTACGATGGCAGATCGAGAAGAAAGACAATGAAATTGTGGAACTGAAGAAGACTTTGCGTGCTAGAGCTGATGATATATCCAATTATAGGGTTCGATATGACCTTTTCGAGTGTTATGTGGATGTTTATGTATGAAAATCAATTCAAGAAGTTTGATTGTTACGTTACTTTTGGAGTAGAAATCGAGTGGTGTGTGGCTTGAGCGAAGAAATTAAACAACATTTGATTGAATTTAGTTGCGACTTGAAATGGCCGATAAGAAGATTGAAAGTTCTGGTAAGGCAGATGAATCACGTGTGCAACGTTTACAAGCACGTAATGACGAACTGCAAACTGAGCTGAAAAAGTCGAGAGCGTTAGTTTTCATCTGTTTGATTTTGTATTGTGTCAGTGATTTTCGTTTGTGATATTCGCTGCTGAGANCTGACACATATGTATTGTGACTGAATTGCAGAGAGTTTGAAGAAACAATGGATGCACTCCAACGAGATCTGTACGCAACGGAAAAGGAGAATGCGGAATTGAAGGAACGTGCGAAGAATATGAGCAAGAAAGCATTGCTTATGGTTCGTTTTCATTCTGGAGTTCGAAGTTGACCTCAGTGAAAGTTTGCTCATTAAAGCGAAATTATTTATTGCGAGAAATAATTTCTGGCAGTCAATGATATTCTGTGAAAATCACCTAATTTTAAGAAGTAATGCTTCACTTCTACCAAAAATCAGCGAACGTTTAGCGGTTCGATTGTTTGACGTGTTTCTATTCATTCGTTGAATTCATCAACTTTTGAATGATATATTCTCATTGATGTTTCCATTTCAGAATCTGAGTAATACTCTGAATCAACAGAATATTTCCTCAGTGCCATCAACGCCCACTTCAGGAGGTGCATCATTCACAACACATGCTGCAGAGATCGCTTTTCTAGAGGCTGAATTGTGTGAGCGACAGAAAGCTTTGAAATGGGCTGATACGCGAATTAGGCAATTGAAGGTATTGTTCATTTATACTTACTCATTTTAAGTAATGTGATTTCGAGGCATTCTCTTTTCTAGATTATAGTGCAGAAATGTAAGTGTAGGACGATGATGAATTCATAAACCATTCACTTATAATTAACGTTGTATTCTATTGAAGGCACAGCAAACAATGAGACTGTTGTCTGAAATGCGTCCACTAAGTGTACCAAACGATATTTGTGGTCCGTTGACGCTTGCTGCAGCGCATAGTGCTGAAAAAGAAGAATTGGATAAAATATTGAGAGAAGCCGAATCTCTACAAACGGTTTATTACCTACAATTTCACTTGTCATTCCTCAACTTTCAGTTTGTATTCTCTGCGGAGAGTTGATTTTATTTTTGCCTGTCATGTTTTTGTGATAATGCTCAATGGAATCATTCTTATAATGTTGCAAAATTTAACGAAGAATTCATTGACGAAAGCACAAAAAATTTTTATCCAGCATGATCAGATTTGCTGTCATCTCTCGTTTCATTCTCGAATTCCGTTTCACCACTCGAATTTGCATTCTTTGATCACATTATTCAATTAATTTCCACTGTTTCGTTCACTTTGAGGAAGCGCGCAAATATCAAATACCGTACGTAAACGATCCTAAGAAATCGCGCAAAGCGAATGCAACCGAAGAACAGTTGTATTATGCGAATGCAGCACTTATCAATCGCCATATACATGATGTGGGTTCTATGCTGTGTTATTGGTTTTCTCTGCGATTATGACTCAAGAATTGAATCTTTCCAAGTCATGAATATCTGTGCATTTGTAAAGCTTGACGTTTATTGAAAATTTTGATGTTGTTGTGATGTCGTTGAGATAAGTTTGCGCATTTAGCTAGTATCTCGTCCTCGCAAAAAGTTATCCTTCGATGTCATCTTGATGTAACCTGAGCAGAGACATAAGCTCTATCAGTTGTTTGAAAGTTCGAAATCTTACGGTGCCAATTTATTTATGCAAAGGACTGCTTCA